ATTAATTAATTAATTAATAAAATAAACAAAATAAATAATAAATAAACAAATAAATAAATAAAATAAATAAACAAACAAATATATTAATAAATAAATTAAATAAATAAGTAAAATAAATAAATAACTAAATAAATAAATATATTAAATAAATAAATAAATATATTAATTAATTAACAAATTAAATAAGTTAAATAAATAAAATAAATAAATAAATAAATATAAATGAGTAAATAAATAAGTTAATTGATTTGTTTGTTTGTTTTGTTTGTAAAGGTATTTGAAGCAGTGAAGTTAAGAAGAGACAGCCGCCCTCGCTGGAGTTTGCTGCAGGGGGGTGAGGTGTGGGGCCGCCGGCAGCAGCAGCAGCAGCAGCAGCAGCAGCAGCAGCAGCAGCTGCGTTGGTTTGTGCTGACGCTGCAGCAGCTTATCGTGCTGCAACCCCACGAAGGAGACAGAAGCACCCCAGGGAGTCTCAGCAGCAACACAACTGCTAGCAGCAGCAGCAGCAGCAACGGCAACAGCAACAGCAACAGCAGCAGCAGCAACGGCAACAGCAACAGCATCTCCGCCAAGTCATCAATGGGTACGAGCTTTGATCTCTCTAAACTGATGCTGCTGCCTTTGCTGCTGCTGCTGCTTCGGCTTTCCCTTCAGGCTGCTGCTGCTGCTGCTGCCTCTTCAGCAGCAGCAGCTGCTGCTGTTGCTGTTGCTGTTGCTGCTGTAGGGTGTGTGTGTATGTGTGCGTGCTGCATATTTCTGTCTCCTTGAACTGTGCTCCATCCATTCCTGCTGCTGCTTCTGCTGCCTTTGCTGCTGCTGCTGCTGCTGCTGACTTTGCTGCTGTTGCTGCTGCTGTTGCATGCGTTGTCTCTCTTAGAGGAGACCCCTTCTCCTTCTCGCAGCACTTCGCTGCTGCAGCATCGACGCAGCAGCGGTGAACCCTGGGCTATCGCGGGGCTGAAGGAGACGCTAAAATCTTTTCAGTCTCTTCAAGAAAAAGCAAAGGACGCACTTAGATTGTCTGCTGCTGCAGGTAACTCCTGCTGCTGCTGCTGCTCCTCCTCCTCATGCTGCTGCTGCTCCTCCTCATGTTGCTGCTGATGCTGATGTTTGTCATGCTGCTGATCCCGCTGCTGCTGCTGCTGATGATGATAATGCACTTGACACAGGCAGCGTTTGCTGCTGCTGCTGCTGCTTCTGCTGCTTCTGGTGTTGTTATTGCAAGTGGTGTTGCTGCTGCTGTTGCTGCTGCTGCTGCTTGATAAGATGCTTATAAGATTACAACAATATAATAAATATATATGTGTTTTGTTTGTTTTGTTTGTTTGTTAGAGAAGGCAAATAACTCTTTATTTAAAACTTTAACAGGTATTGTCTGCTTGGGAGCTGAGGATACACCTGGATGCTGCTGTCTCCGCGTGAAGAGCAATCATAGGATTAACGCACTTAAGAGCGTCTCTGTCTCTGCAGCAGATAAGCAGCTGCTGCTGCTGCATTATAAAAACAATAAAACTAATGCTTATAAACTCATCGCCAGAGAGACATTTACACAGGCACTGCGCACAAGGCTAGCAGCACTCAACCTAGGTATGCTGCTGCTGCTGCTGCTGCTGCTGCCGCTGCTGGTGATGCTGCTGCTGATGCTGATGTTGCTGGTGATGCTGGTGATGGTGGTGATGGTTGTTCTGCTGCTGCCGTTGTTGCTGTTGGTGCTGCTGCTGGTGTTGCTGCTGCTGCTGTTGTTGCTGTTGCTGCTGCTGCTGATAATATATTAGCGGCATTTGCTTTAAGTAAGTTGTGTTTGCTGTTTGCTTCTGTAGACCTAGAATGCACTGAAGAAGCTTAAAATGACAGCAGCAGTAACAACAACAGCAACAACATCAGCAGCAACAACAGCAGCAGCAGCAGCAGCAGATGCGCTTCCTTGCTGCATTTTTCGTGCGATATCAATGCACTGTTAACTTTGGCTTCTGCTGCAGCAGCTCTTGCTGCTGCAGTGATTACTGCTGCAGCTTTTGCAGCAGCAGCTCTTGACGCTGCAGCTTTGGTACCAGCTGGTCTTGCTGCTGCTGCAGTGTTTGCTGCTGCTGCAGTGTTTGCTGCTGCTGCAGTGTTTGCTGCTGCTGCAGTGTTGGCTGCTGCTGCAGTGTTTGCTGCTGCTGCAGTGTTTGCTGCTGCTGCAGTGTTTGCTGCTGCTG